TTGTGATTTTTGTTCAGGTATGATTACTTTAAAAAAATAATGGGGTATTTTCTGAATGAAAATTCAAAATTATATTACCGGTATTCAAAGAATTTGTAGAATTTGAAGTACGTCCTTACCACAGCAAGTCTTTTTGTTCTTAATATAATGTTAACTTTGTTGTTTTTCAACCTGTCAATGTTTGTTGTTTTTCCACGTGTTGATGTTGTGTTTGTAAGCATGGATGTTGTGTTTTCACTTGCTTGCTGAGGTTGCTGTTTTCGTTTGTGATGTTTTGTTGTTTTTGTTATTTTCATATATCAATTAAGACAATTCACATAAGACCACATAAAAGTAATTTTCAATCCAGAACTAATGCAAATGTCCTTAGAAAAAAAAAAGTAAGTATAAAAGTGCTAGCTTGTTGTGGAATTGTAGTTTACTTGCTGCTGAGATGTTGTATTCAAATCTTTTTGTGTATTACTAAAAAAGCTAAAAAAGAAAAATGAAAATTTCCATTTGTTTAACCTTATTAAAATATGTTATAAGTACATATTGTAGCAAAATTATTTAATATATAAACATTTATATAACAAATATAACTTTCAAGATGCTGGGTTTGTCAGTTATATTCCAGAATACACATCATATTCCAAAGAAGAATTAGCTAACTTAAAGGTATAATCTCTCTCTCTCTCTCTCTCTCTCTCTCTCTCTCTCTCTCTCTCTGGTTATATTTTATTGAGATGTTGAATACTTATTGATTTATTAAATTATTTTTTTATCCAAAGCTTCCATGCAAAAAATCCTTTACAGTAAGTGACTTACTTCTATTATTATAAAGAGAAAGAAACAATTTCAATAATGAATATCAGAGGTTGACAAACCTTACCATCAGGAACCACTAGGCATATGTAAATTGTGCGTGATTAACAGGATTTAAATGCCCGATTCTGCGAGACTCCATGACATGAAAATTATAATTGGATTTTTTAAAAGGTAGAACCTCATTTACTTCTACATCTACATGTACAGTGTAGTTTTTCGCAACTTTATACGATGTATTTTTTCTACAAAAGACTCTTTTTTTATTGAATTTCAAGGTTATAAAATTAATATACTTTAAAGATTAATGAAGAATTCTTTTTATCTGATAAATGTTTTCTGCTGAATCGAAATGAATAACTGTAAAATCGCTATTCTTATGGAGAGGGATACTTTTCTTTGGGTTTTCTTGTGATATAAAGAGACCTACAAATTGCTATGTTTCACGCAGTATCAAGGTGTCATACTGCAGTTAAATGTTTCTGCAACCACGAAATAAAATTTCCACACACTAATATTTTTTCCTCTAGCTACGAACCCAAGAAAAAAGTTATTTTACACTGAATAAAAGATATTACGTACACTGCCCCGTTCACAAGTCGTGATGCATGAGACAAAATTCTTACAGATGTTTAACCTTGTCCCGTTCTTTCTCAGTTTAAAATTATTTTCCTTTCTGCTCTGAAAGACGATACACGATTAGCTCTCTTTGGACGCTGTCCTGCTTTTCCTAGTGGAAGATAAGCTATTGTTGTGTAGACAAGTAAAGACTTAATCTTTGGCTTCCTATAACTACGATTTTGCCATATTTCTTATATTAATCTAGTGTTAAACTATCCACAAAAAATACTGGGGTTAAATTTATCTTTGAAGGAGAAAAGAATTCTTAAATCAATCGGAATCAGATTTATATTTCTGGTGATTTTTTTTATTAAGATGAGTTTATCTAAGATTGTAAACCTTGTGTCCTCCTACGGTTTTTTTTATTAGTATTTAATACACATGCATCATAAGAAATATGTTATACTATTATTTTATACAACTACATATAAGTTTCTTTATTGTACTGTTAAAATGTTTTCTTTATAAATTTTACGAGCTATTTTTATTTAGCCTGAATTTTTTTTTCACGTATAGCAAAGTTATACCTCTGGGGTATAGTTTGTTCTACACAACCCAAAGAGAATTTTCATTCCACTTTTCATGCCAATTTTGATTTCCTGCAATATGATTGGTTGGCGACTTTTCAAAAGCGGCAGAGTCCCATAATGATATACCTCGGTGGTGAAAATTGGGGTTTCAAACCCTTAAAAATTATATACCAAACAATAATTTAATTCTGATTGTAACACGCCATTTGATTCGATAAAAATTTACTTTATATCGTATAAATTGGGTTGCCTACGTCACAATGACGTGCGTCAAAAGCGTATCGATCCGCCTGACATTACATTTAAATTTTGTACAATTTAAAGTCATTTTTTCAGAGCAATTATCTTTTTTCTTACAATGAATGAATGAAAATTAAATCATAAGGAATGAAATTAAAAGCTACCCAATTTATATGGTATAAAATGGGTTGGAACAGTTAACGCTTTTTTTATAAACCGCTTCGCGGTTTATAAAGCGTAAACTGCCCAAACCCACTTTATACCGTATAAATTGGGTAGCTATCAAATTCAGTCCTTAAATAAACCTCTGATCTAATGGCTGTGACTGAAAAATATCTTTCATCAAAACTTTGCCTTAGGGCAAGCCCTTATGGAAGTGTTCCTGTCGTGGGTTTGATAAAATAGATTCCCAATCTTCAGCCAGTGGATTAATGTAAAATATATACAATTTTATTTGGTATATAAAAGGGGCATATCTAGTTTGAAATACACATTTTGTTGCTTGTTGAATTTGTTATTATAGGGAGCTAACAATTTAATTCGATAAGTTCATGAGTTCTAAAAAAAGTATATCGATGATATCAATAGGAATGTTTTGATTTTTATGAAGGGATATTTTAAAAGATACAATTAATTAAACGAAGTCACATGATAGTCACATGATAGTTTTACATTCAGTGAATTTGTTATAAAACAGATTGTTGTTCAGAAATCTATAGAAACAAAGTACTTTTCTACTTATTAATGTTGCATTTTTAAATCCTCCTTTCATAGGAATTGTCAAAAGCATTTTTTTCATGGCTCTCCGATTTATAAAATAAAACGGACAGATATTTTACAAACCTTCGATATATGAATAATGAAGATCTATGAATAAACAAAATATTATTTTACTTTGTTTATTTAAGGAATGAATTAAATAACTACCCAAGTTATACTGTATAACCATGGTTGGGGCAGTTTTCGCTTTATTAACCGCGAACGGTTAATAAAAAAAAATAACGTCAAGCGGATTGATGCATTTTAGACGTAATTCATTGTGACGTATGAAACACAGGTTATACGATATAAACAAATTTCATCCAATCAAATTACGCGTTACAAAAAAATTATATTATAAGGGGATCTACAGTTGGAATCATTGCCGGGAAACATTACCTGCGAACGCGTATTTTACCTGAAATGTTTTAACAATTCGTTCCCAGAAAATAAACAAGGAAAGCATGTTTAATAAATATAAAATATTTAATTTGCTTTGTTTGTTTGTTGTTTGTTTTAGAGTTTCTTTCTGAAATGAACAAATCACATATAAATGTATCAGATTATTTTACGTTATTACAACATGTTAAAATTCATCTTCTTAGTATTTAAACTGCCGTACCTATATTAGATAGACTCTTCGTTGGATTCAACAATATAGCATTAAAATTTTCTACTCTGAACACCCCTGGTTCCATAGAAACTGGCCGGATTAGCCAACAGTTGATGATGAGACCTTAAAATCCATTCATGTCCACTTTGTCATTTCGATATTGTCGACATGGCAATGTAAACAATGTTGACACGATATGATGTTTACACCGTCTACATTGTTAGTATTTCTATATTGATAAAACATCGTGCACTCGACATATCTCTTAAACACCGAGACCCCGTGTCACTGTAGGCACAATAAAGAACCCTCACTGTTGAATGGCCCTAAATGCAGAGTAAAGGTCTAAATTTGAAGCCCTTCACCTATATGGTGACGTCTTTATATGAGTGAAAAGTTCTTGAACGGGACGTAAAACAATATGCAATCAATAAATCAATCATCTGTAGACAAGATATAACTAAAACCTGTATTTAATTATTGGGCATATAGACGATTGCATATTTTTCTCACTTAATCTTCGTAAACAGAATTGAGTTATCTCTCGTTTTATATTGTAGTAGAGCCTATTGGGTCTCTTAAACCCCTTATACCCATTATAAACACAATATACCCTGCACATGCCTGTCATTTGATCCAACAGTACATCTTCAGGGTTTTTGTAAGTCTTAGACTACTTTTTTTTAAATTACATTTTTTTTTTATTTTTAGATATATTGCATGCAGTAGGTTAAAGGTGAAAAAACGGATTCCAAAGAAATATTAACAACCCTCTTCTACATGTAGCATTATTTAGCAGTAAAAGAACCCTTTATCGTGCTGGAGTTTAAAGTTTGCAGTAATATGATAAATATACAGGCAGACAATATTACAACGATGAGAGCATTGCATTTTATTAACTTTTTACCGAGAAATAACAATGACACCCTCAGCCGTCCAATTTTATTATTTTCAAGTTCATCATTGAATGTCAAAAAATGAGTAAATTTGGAGGTGTGTAATTATTTATTTTTTTTAAATTAATCCGAATATCCTTTATGAAAACAAGGTCTTCACATGAATTTTACAGTAAAACAATGACTGCAATTGATAAATATTAATTATGGTACCTTTTCTCTTTGCACTTCTAGTCCTTATCTTAGATTTTTTTAAAATTCACATATAAAAAAAAATATCAATGAAGTATGATTTTGACATTTGTTTTTTACCATTTTTGTGATATAATTGATACCCATTAATGTATTTGTATGCCACATTCCATTTTGGGAAGATATTTCACGGCTTTACTTATGTCTATCGAGATCAACAAGCTTTTGGCATCTCAAGGTCTAAAGACTTCTAGTTTCCGGCAAAGAAATCTGTCTACGATGCAATGGTCCTCAGGGGTTTTATATGTCAATTTTAGGAAAAAAATGTTAATGATATAATGGCGATGGTCTGTCTGCATTGTGTGCGGAGATTCAAGCAAAAATCAATTTGTGATACTCTTTACGTTAAACTAAGGATGTATATACATGATTATAGAAGAGGTAGGAATCTTTGAAGTTTTTTTCTCAATGTTAGCTATAAATAAGTAGGCAGAACTAATTAAGCAGACTTTAATTTTGTAGATAAATCGTTTAAGAAACATTTACACAGTTGAATTACTGAGAGGTATTGATGACAATTTAATTATCTGTACAAAAGATTTCACAAGTCCTTTGTAAACCATAATTTTCATTTTCATTGTATAGAAAAATCTTTTCTCGCCTTTCATCTTAGAAACAGAAATTATTGTTATAAAATTATAGTTTCTAATTTTAAAAAATGGATCGTAATTTTAAGATTTGCAGTCAGTGAATTCTATGAGTAAATGATTCATATGCCTACCCTCATGATAGATATAAAAAATTACTAAATGTTTTAGAATATTTTTTTTAAATCAATAAACTAGTAATAAATAAATTCATAAGTACATATCATCAATAACAATTGTCATTAAGATCATTTCAACTGAATTTTGTGGTCTTTTCGTTCGATATAAATATATTATGATCAGCCAAAAAAAAAAAAAAACAACGAACAAAATCCCTCTCTCTCTCTCTCTCTCTCTCTCTCTCTCTTAGCATTCTATTAATGCTGAGCAAACATGTCAAAGGCTTAGTTTGTAACTTAAATCCTTTAAGAGGTTGTGCAGGAAGGTAATCGATAGATTTTCTTTTTCCTGGTGATTTATACTGTTGCTTTCTCAAGAATGTGACAAATACATGAAACGTGTAAGATCTACAATTCTGTTGGAAGAAAATGTATCTTAATTACTGCCCAACATCTTAGAGTTTCAGAGAAAGTATAATATTTGAGAGAGTAATATTCTGAAGACTGTGATTACACTGTGACTGTATTACACTGTCGTAAACAAATACGTGTACTTTGAACGGGGAAACCGATATGACAGAATACATTTTTGATGTGTCAATAAATAATTGATTTCAATATTCATAGTGTTTTCCAATGCTTTGCCAGCAATAGTATATAATTTAAGCTGTTCATTCACTTAATTTCAGTAATTAACCCTCCCTTTCTTTAAAATTATATTAGAATTATTAAAAAACAATGTTAAGTTCAGGACTCGGACTTAAAAGACTAAAGTCTTATAGAAAAGATAAAGTGATTTTTACTGTTTAAACATATACTCTTTAAAGCTTGCTCATCGATTTCCTCTGGGGTGATTGCTGTGCGATAAAAACTATGCTCTAATTACCGCTTCCAACTGTCAAATATTATGCAAGCCCGATTGATATTGATGGAACAATTAGTTGCGTTTCCCTGCTCAGCGGAAAGCCCGTACCTCGATTCCTCAAGTTTGCAAAGTGAATTACGATGAACTGATGAACTGTGATCGATGGCAAAATAGAAAACATCTTCTCTTCGCTTATTCTCTTAATGACTATTTCTTTGTATTGATCCGTAAACATTTATCTGACAGCTAAGCCGTCACTAAGGGAAAATAGAGGCTAATTGGACTCGAACATTGTGTCCATATATTCGGAATTCTATTGTAATCAAAAAGTTTGTTTGCTTGAAGAAATTTACTTCGGTAGTCTATTACTATGTCCTCAGAGAGAGAGAGAGAGAGAGAGAGAGAGAGAGAGAGAGAGAGAGAGAGGATGCCTTAATATGCTCTTATAAATATGTCTGATACATATTTCACATACACAATTTATAAGCATATTAATATGTATCGTTCGCAGTGAGAACTATATAACTCATTGGCTTAAACTTTATATAAAACTTGCTAAAGGAAAAAATCTATATTTTATTCATTTTTTACTCACTTTTATTCAATAAACGTGACGATATTTTTTTAATGTGTAACTTCTTTGTCTCTCTGAACTAGTACCACAAGCTTCAAGAAACCCTTCTGTTGCAGTCAAAATTCTTTCTTATCATTTCTGTAACAGGAACAATCGAAATTGGGGAGGCGCAATTGTATCTGGTCACATTGTAGAATGTCCACTCTTAATGGAAGGCGTCATGGCAAGTGATCACTGTAAATTATCGTCTCTCAATTGAAGGCGCCATGGCAACTTGTCACTTTGAGGATTGTCCACTCTCAATTGGAAGTGTCATGGCATTGGTCACTTTGTAGATTCTTCACTCTTAATTTGAGGCGTCATGACTTCTGGTCACTTTTCAGATTTCAAACTCTCAACTGAAAGCGTCATGGCATCTGGTCACTTTTTTAGATCCTTCGCTCTCAATTTGAGCCGTCAAGACATCTGGTCACATTGTAGATTTCCCACTCTCAACTGAAGGCGTCATGGCATCTGGTCACTTTATAGATTGTTCGCTCTCAATGGGAGGCTTCATCACAATTGGTCACTTCCTTATCTTTAATTTGAGAATGATTTGTAGTATGAATGAAATATGGAGATAACGTACAGTATTCAAGCTCAAAGTCCATAAAAGCAGTACAGATCGGGAGCATAGCAAACATGGACCTCCAAAAACATCAGAGGTGGGATCAGGCGCAATGAAGGAGTGAGGATCCCCTGCCGACCGGTCACACCCGCCATGTGCTCCTTATCATTCTGCATTCTCTCTTTATTACAATGAACACTTTGCATACAATTGTTCAGTGTTTTCTTATAAATGATTTTTTTTTCATTCTAAACGCCCAGTTTTGTTGGAGTTGATTTGTTAATGTATTTCTTTAAAAAAAAATACGTTTTGATTACTTCATGTCTAAAAATTAAATTCTAATAAAATTATGTGTATAAATAGTCCAAAAATAATTCCATAAACCATAAATAGCAAAGAGGAAGTGTAAAAAGATTCTATGTACGTAATATACTATTCTGTTTGATTCTGTAAGAATAACACGAAAGGTTAATTAATTTATGTCCATGAAACACATTATCACGAAACTCTGACATTTACGTTAGCTTTTCTTATAAGTCGTAAGGTTATTTACGAGTGATGCATCAAGAAACTGTAAGAATAATAGAGTATACTTCAAAGCGTAAAAAATTGATTTTTTGATACATTCTATGAAGATTTATTTCTCTATGAAACTTACATGTAACTTTGATTCTTTGTATTCTTTTACCGATACTTTATTGTGGGGAGTTTTGGGCTGTGTTATCATGATTTGATAACCATTTCGATAATTTTTTTAATTCCACAGTAACGGTGTCTTTCCGTTATAATAAAAGAAAGTAATGTGAGGATGGCTGAAAGATATCAAATTTGACGTCTCAATAAAAATACTTTTGCTTTGGAATATATATATATATATATATATATATATATATATATATATATATATATATATATATATATATATATATATGATCAAAATTCTGTTATTTTGTTTTCAGAAAGAATCCTTGAAACTTCTTAAATTTTAAAAAGAATTATGTAAGGTTGATTAATTTAAATAATTGTCAACATTTGAAAACATAGTACATGATGATATTTTGAAAGATTCTTTGGCTTTACTTCGCTTGGACTCGATAAGTAAATCGTTAACGTTGATGTCGCACTGAAATGTAAGATTTGAATTTTCTCTGTACTGTGTGCATTAGCGAGAAAAATATATATTTTATTGTCTCCGAAGGTTAAAACTTTAAAACATACATATTTATTAAATGCTCTTAATATGGTCTCTCTTATTTTATACATAAATAACAATTAGAAATTATTATGGTCAAAAGGATTTCGCTTTTTTGTCGCGCCATAAAATATATCCACACTGAATTTGTTACGGCTGATAATGGGGGAAACAGCGGGATTATAGCGTTCCCTCTATGTCTCTGTAAGTGTTGAGCAAAAATCAATTCCAGTTTATCATCCTGAGAATATGAGACATTTACTGAGATTGTTTCAGCTAACACGTGTCCAGGGCCTAGGGTTGTAGGGTTACTGATGTGAGGCCTCGTCTGGAATGGCTTAGCATCACTCTCTTTTACCGAGATTATGGTGTGAAAGTGGATCGTAGCGATAAGATTTTATTTGTCGTATATTTTGGTACTGATTAATGGACGTCAAAGCTTGAAAAGTAAGTACGTATTGAGTTTTGTATTGTGTGGAATTTTCAGGTCTGGGTTTAGCATTAATTTTTTATCTTCAAATGGGAAAGTGAACCCATCTATCAGAAAGAATTTCGTGTCAGCTACATTGACTATAATTTGTTTTCAACAGAAAAAAAGACACAATAATCAGCATTAAAACTTTTGTTTAAAACGCTTATACAATACCTTATGTTTCATACGTGTCATAAAGAAAAGTCGTTTCTTTCTGTATTTACAATTTATATCCTTTATAGCCCCTTTCCATTCTTATTTATTTTCTTTACTCTACTGTTTAGGTTTACCATTGACATTTCCATGTATATTTTTTTTTCACTATGAGTTCTTGACACTTGATCATTCAGTCATTTTGGGAATTAATATTTAATTATCTTTTACATAACTATATCTTAATTCTAAAACAGGTTTATTCACTTTTATAGAGAAATGAACTAAATACAGGTATTTTAAAAGCGCATTGTATTATACTTTATTTCATTTAAAAAAGTTTGATACATTTGGTTTATCACTTTATCACTTAGATCCAAATTATGTGCCAAATTATTATGTTATAGAAAAAGAGCTGTAGTATAATGGATAACCTGTTAGAAAATCTAATTTTCTTAACGAAATCTTAATATCTTACAGGAAATTTCTATTAATTTTTCCTAGGGTGAAGAAAGGCTTTAGGTATAAATGGATGCCTTTAAGAAAGTGTTTAAGGTTCATGATCTCTCATAACATGTTGCTTTAATGCCTATGATTTTCCAAGAGAAATGTATTTTGTAAGTAAAATGAGACCAAGTTTAGCAAAGCTTTCGGGGCAAAACTAGACAAAAAAAAGTCTTTTCAGTTTGACAAATTTATAAAGAAATAATGAAATATGGAGATATCAAACAACAATCAAGCCCAAAAGTCCATTGAAACAATACAAATCGGGAGCAGAGCAAACAGGGACCTTTAAACACATCAGGGGTGGG